ATGTAAATTACTTACTTTTTTATTATATTTAGAAATGTAGGGAATAAATTACTTCCAACATGTTTCATCAAAATAAAAAAAAAATTTTAAAACTCGTCAACTATGTCTAAAAACTTATTTTTTTACTTTATTTTGATTAAATATATATACTGTGACAATATACTTTCTTGCACCAACATTTAATAGAAGATAAAAAAGGAAAAATTAAGATAAAAAATAATTATGTAACTTACAAGCATGACCGAAAAAAATTCTTTTTTCTCTCCCTTCTAAATAGCACGGGAGGGAGGGGGGTGTGTTGAGAAGAAATAAAGAATTAATGATTGCTTTTGTGCATGCGCAAGGAAGGCAAGCGTATATAACACCATGGAATCATAACATTGATACAATGAAAGTGATGATTGATTCCAGGTTGTGTGTTTGTCTGAGTGTACTTGAGAACTGGTAAATAAATGATCACAAAACCTTGTCTCACACTCTCTGATGAGTCCGAGGATGAAATTAGGGTTTTTTCAGGGTTTCATATGACTTCATGGTACCTGCCATGAATCAGAAACACATCTTTGCACGCAACCTTTAAAACATCCTTTTCTGATCTATCTTTATGATTCCACTTTACCCTTTCTCTCTTGCTTAATTAGATCTCTATTTCAAGTTTAATTTATCTCTTTTATAAAGTCCCTGTGCGATAAACACACCCTTTTCGATCGATTTTTTTTTTATATGACTATCTTATAACTATGTTAGTTTTGAGCATTGTCAAATCCCATTATCGATTTTAATTGAGTGTACGGAGCTTACCTTAAGATGTTTTCTGCATATCCGAGATTTCATGCTTAAGTGATTATAATTCCTTCTACTAGAACCAACGCTGGGTAATTCAATTGATTTAATTATAAGAACATTACACAATTATTTTTTATACAAACAAATTAAATTAAATTAAATTAAATACATCTGTGTCTTGCACTAGCTTGAAGAAGAAAATAGCCATTTAGATCAAGTACCTGATCATCAGTAGTTGCGTGCTTGTATATATAATCTCTAACCCTATAATTGATTGCCTCACATATTCCCATGTTTAATCCAATTTTGTTTCATCAGCTTTCGACCTATCTATGTAGTTGTCATTTCTTTTATTATGACACTTGAGTTAATTTATTCCTTCTTATGCCATTTATAGGATGGAGAGAATTTTTTTTTTTGAATAAATATTGGTGAGAGAAAATACATTATTAATTATATATATTTAACATGGGCAAAAAGTTAAAAAATTATTTTAATTTTAAACAAAGTTAATGAGTTTTAAAGTTTTTTTAATTTTAATAAAATATATTAAAAATATTTATAAATAGAACTAAAGGAGTGTATGGATACATGAATAATACGTTATTACTTCATATATAGACTTAATTTTTGAAACTTTTATAAAAAATTAAGATTATAAACTATATTTAATGAATTTCAGATATATGCATACTAATAAAATACTCATAGCATGTTTATATGATCACAATATATGATCATGCAAAATACTCATGGTATCACCATACATACTAAAAACTCTTAATTAGCATATTCAAGCTAACACAAACATGTTTATATTATCACAAAATCTGATCGATCATAATATTCATCTTATTGTTTTCAATAATATATCAGCAATCCCATAATGAATTTTTCTCATTGATACAAAACGCCACACTTGGATTTTATTTTCCAAACCAATAAACAAGTTTATTTGAATAGAAAATATATTAATCATGTTCACAAACTAATCTAACAGGTAATAGTAAGACATAAAATTTTTTCAATTACCTCAAACTTTTAAAAATTTAAAAGTTACCCAAAAATACTTGCTTCTTGAGCTAGTATTAAGCTCAAATGACATGCCACAAGATTAATTTACAATTAAATAATCACTATCATCACTAATCATGCATCTAGACACCACTTTCACTCCTAAATTCACACTTTATGTAACATCCTGATTTTTATATAATAAAAAAATTGTGGAATATAGGTTTTGAGGGAAAAAATGATAATAATAGGAATTTATATTATTTGAGGTTATTTAGAAATGATATTATGGTTAGGTATTTAATTATAAATTTAAAAAAATTTAAATTTAAAATCACATAAGCAATATTTAGTTAAGATATAATACATAAATAATTTTTTTTATTGTGTGTTAAAAAAAAAGAGAAGGTAGAAGGAATAAAAAAACGGGGGTGGAAGGTTGTTGTTTCTAAGTCCTACATTGGTTAGATGAGGGAAGAGAAGAGGTGCCTTCATGTATAAAAAGGAGGGGGTGTGTGCATTAGGAAGCATGAGAGGCTAAGATGCAATTTAGAGGAAATTGCAACTTTTGGCCCAAAGGTTTGAATAATTAAATTCGAACCTATAGTTTTTTTTAATATAATTTTGGGACCACAATCCTATTTTTATATTATTTTTCTCTCTTCCTCTCACGTTGCTCGGCATTTTTCTCGCAAGGGGGGGTTATTTTCTTTTTCTTCAGGTATGTTCTAACTTTCCTGTTTAGATTAGCATTTAAAAATTTATTTAATTACAAAATTAATTTTATAGTTATTTTCTAAATAATATTAGCTTTCTAGTGATATGATTATTTTGTAGGATAAAGTAAATATTTTGATTAAGATTTTTTCTATAGGATAGTTAATCTGATGATATGATGGATTAAAAATATAGGTTAAAACTCTTAGGGATATAATAAATATTATAGAATATTTTCTTGAGGTTGAAACTCATGTTTAAGAATTTTTGAGTTAAAAATTTAGATCTATATGGTTGAATTTATGTGCAATTTGAGATGTAGGGATAAACCTATGATTATTAAATATTTATTTAAGTATGAATAGATATTTTTGAGGTTATAGAAAGGTGATTTGAGGCTTCAGGATAATTTTAAAATTTTTAATTTATTTTTGGATGAATTTTTAGAATATAGAAGGATGAAATTATGATACTAGAAGTGATTTGAGGATAAAATAGTTTATTAGGGTATGAGAATTTTAGAAAAAGAATTTGGGAAGTTAAATGAGGCGTAAATCTTAAATTAGTGTTAATATGGATTATAGATCTAAGACTTTCTAACTATTTAAATTAGAGTTATTTATTTTAATGTAAAATTAATATATAGTATTGTGAAATAATTATGTAGATTATATTGACAAAGATAGTGGTGAAAAAGGAGTTGTGAAGGGGAACTTGTTATTTGAGACACAAGGTAACCATTATTAATGTGTTGTGATGGGTGTGTTTGTGAATGGTTATGTGTTATTTTGTTATTTGGAAAAATTATGAATTATTAAAATAAATACTGTATATACTTGTTTGAAATTATTGCCAAGTGGGTTAAAAATTTATTTTTGTTTATCATGATGAGATATTATTGTTCGGATATATTCCTGTTTGGATATTTGAATGATGCATGACTTGTCAGGGTATTTTAATGTATGGTGTTAATGGGAATTTCTGTTCGGTTAATTATTATCACGTGGTAAGCCCTCATTGGACCCAATGAGTGGCGTGTCGCTTGGTCCAACTCACCTTTGGCCAGGTGATTTGGCGTCCGAGCATGGTGAAAGAAGGATATAAAGTGCAGTCATGCAAATTAAATACTTGTTCGGTTTGTTTGAAAATATTATTCGGTTAAATGTTTTGTGTGCCCACTTAGCAATCACATGATTAGTTACAATCGCATGCATCATTACATATTAATTTTTGATTTCTGGGACTTTTAAGTCTCATTCCCCATGGTTAATATTTTTACAGGAGCGAGTCCGGCCGAGAAAGCACCAGAGGTGTAACTATGGTGTATGAAACACCATCTTTTACGTTGCCTCTTATTTTGGATTATACAATGTATCTTGTGCCAACTTAGGACATATCTTCTTTGTGAAGCATGTAAACTCTAATCCTTTTTATTAAAAGTATTTATTTGACCAAGAGGATTATGTTTGTCTCTCTTGATTCATGACCTAATTTAAATATCATGTCATGAGGATCCTGACTGTCCCTCATGGTTTTAATTGCTTTTTTGAGATATTTTAAGACCTGTGGTATATTGTCTTGGATGTATCATGGTAAGAAAATTTTCTACCATGATAATGGTTTTAATAATTTGCGAAAAATCGGTTTGTATTTTGAGGGTGTTACACTTTAACCACTCAACTTTCAACTACAAGTCCAAACTCACATCCAATAAATTTATTAACTCTCATTAGTTCCATTTAACTCTCATTAGCTTCAAAAAAGACACTTGAGAGAAAAAGATTATAAATTTACAAATAAAATAAATCCATATATCTTACAATATTCATAACTAGAACAACAAGTTCATCAACTAGTAGATTTGGAGATCCAAGAGTAAATAACCTAAATTCACTCACTTAGCAAGTGTACCATGACACAATAACATACGTGGATTTAATGGAATGGTTGTCTAGCCATAGCTAGCACCTACATCTAGAATGGAGGAGGAAGTATATACATTAGATTTAGAACATTGAAATGTGAACCTCATATATAATGTATAGCAATCTTGTACCAGTTTCTCTTTATGTGGATACCGAATGCAGAGAAAGTTACTAATAATCTTCCCAAGGTCCAATTGTTTCTCATACGTACCCTAGCTAGACTATTACTTTTGCTTTTACTGCCCATTCATGATATCAGTTTAACTCATTCATAATTTATTATTGATTTTTTCTTTTATCTCTTTTGGTTGGCGCAGAAGCGCATTCATGATCTCCCCTTTTCTTTTCATTAATTGATGATTCATCCCCATCCCTTTTGCACTAAAAAGCCCTCCTTTCCATGCCACATGGCTCTTCAGCCATCAGACACAGATTGTGTTATTAGCAACAGTACTCAAAACTAACCTCCTCCAATAGTATCTATCTATCTATATATATAGGTCTGGTTAGCTTTTTCAATATAATTAATTCAGAGAATCTACCTGCAATAATCATGAGAATGCCAATTACCAGAACACTCATCCCTCCTTCACCAGTGGTGTTAACATGATTAATGATAACCCAACCTGGAATACGAATATGGCTTCTTCTAATTGGCCCATTACGTTCCCTCTCCAAACCCCAATATCTTCGGCATCGTCGTCGTCTTCTTCCTCCGCTTCTGGTTTTCTTACCAGTGACACGTTTGGGATCAACTTGGGACAAGAAGGAGAGGAAGAGGAAAAGGAAGAAGAAGAAGAGCTTGGAGCCATGAAGGAGATGATGTACAGGATCGCAGCTTTACAGCCCGTGGACATCGACCCCTCCACCATCGAGAACCTAAGCGGCGGAACGTCCTGGTCAGTGACGACCCGTTGAGTGTCGCAGCCCGACACCGCCGTGAGAGGATCAGCGAGAAAATCCGAATTCTGCAGAAACTCGTCCCCGGAGGAACCAAGCTCGACACCGCCTCCATGCTCGACTAAGCCATTCGCTACGTCAAATTCTTGAAGAGACAAATCAGGTTGCTCCAATCTCATCCACCACCAGTTCCACCCCAACACTGCAACAATATGGCTACCATCACCACCGCCACTCTCGCCGATTGGCCTTGTACACCAAACACACTACTCCCCACTTCCTCCCCCGCCTCCGCCAACGCCCGTGATAGCTCCTCCTGGTTTAACTATGAGGTAATTGATGAATTACTGAATAATTAGCTTGGGTATCATGTCGATTACTGTGCAAATACGAAAAGAGGCATCTAGCAAGCAATTAATTAATATTGTCTGATCGGTGTTTAGAATATTAGAATAATCATAGTGGTTGGCTGGGTACAGCCACATAGAGAGAGAGAGAGAGAGAGAGAGAGAGAGAGAGAGAGAGAATATTGGGAATGCTGTGTTTAAGGTTCTCAAGAAGGGGGGAAAGAAAGCAGCCCTCACTTCTCAGCATTACTAGCAAGTGTTCACGCGGGGTTACCAGCACGTTGTATTTACTGGTTACGGTTTTTCTATGGGTTGTATTGTTTATTTGTAAGTGCTGTTCGGATTTTCAGGTTAATTTGTGGGCTTGTATGTCTATTTCGTTTCTCGCAGTGTTCATATATGCTTGATGGAACTAGCCGTGTTTCATTAATAATACATTTAATTTCCTATGAAAGCTTGATATGTGAATGTGTATAATTGCTTAAATACACAAGCTTCCTGCGATCAGACGACCAGATCGATGACAGTTTATATACATGTGTGCGTGTGTGTTCGTTCGGATACACTGAAACTTAGGATTATGGTTTGAGTGGCTTGGAATTTTAATGAGTTATGTGTGAGAGAGAGTCATGATGTGGAAAGGAAGCCCTAAAGGGGTGAGAGAAAGTGATGAAGTTATTAGGCCAAACTTAAAGCTGATATATCTATCTTTATCAGCTTTTACGTTTACAATGGATTGACTATGCATATACAATTCTGGGTTTGGTTAATTATGCAGGGATCAGAAACTGTAAATCCAGATTCTGCATTTGATTCAACCTACCTAATTCCTTCCATTTTGTACTGAACACCAAATCTTTTGATCTTCTTTTCCCTATGTTTGCGCCCCTCCCCCCCCCCCCCAAAACTCTTATAAGTTTCTGCTTTCATTAATTCATTTCTCCGTTAAGATTAAAACTAGTTTGAAGTAACTCCAATTTTTTATAAAAAAAAAAATAAACGGAATACTAAATATCAGGACGTAATAAAATATTGAGTGTTTTATTTTGTTATATATACAAAGAAAGAAAAATTAATTTGTTGCAAGAAAAGACTGTCAAACTTCTAGAGCGTGCCAAGATTTTTATGATGGATTTTACAATTTTTTATTATAAAATTTTCATGAAACCTTTTTGCATATATGCATTGTATCAATTAATTAGTTCCCACTACAATCTTTTCTGTTTTTTAATTGTAATATGTTTGGTGACAAACATGAATTGAAAGTAAATTAAAACTATATATCACTGGTAAAAAAAGATTAAAATTACTATCTGCGATAAGTTATAAAAGTGAAGATTTTGTTTTAAACAGCAAGTTATTTCAGTGGCAACTCCACCTCTCTCGCCAAGTTTGAACCTAACATTGACGTGTTTGAGTTTTGCGTGTAGGGTCATGTGTCTCATTTTCTCATGGAAAAGTGTTAGGTTAGAGGTAAAATCTTTTAAAAATTTTCTTATGATTCAAAATTTTATTGTCAGATTTTCATTCGTTTACATTTTATCAATATACGCATAGTCTGATTAACAATTAACATATATGGTCATAAATTTACCAAGTTCTAGCGGTATATAATATATATATATATATATATATATATGCACCCTCTCTCTGGTTTAACACTGGAATTGGGAACGATCGTGCTGCTAATATAACTCCAACTAAGAAAAATTTATCACAACAAAAAAAAAATACTTATATAGTCATATAAAATTTATCACAATAATAACAATACAAATTCAAAACAGTCTCCAATAACAATAAAAAATATTTTAATTGCAATACAAATGATTTAAATTAAACAACATTCAACCACATTAAATAACTTTCAACATTTTAAAGTTCATTACACCAAGTTAATGGCAAATTTCAACAATAAAAAGAGAGGGTTGAAATTGGTCAATATTAAAATTTTGCTTAATATTTATGACTTCACAAGTATAAAACACAAAAATGACTAATTATTATTATAAATTAACTTATTGTAATAATAATTAATAAATTAATTATAATTATATTAAATAAATTTATAGAACTGGATCGAACTAAGTGGTTTAGATGCTCGGTCTCTTGTATAATCTGACCCGAAGAAAGAATCTAGTTTTTTCAGTCCTTATCTAGATCGAACAGGATTAAGTTTGTCTCAAATTAAACCGAACCGTACTGAATTAAAAGATTTTTGTACAGCCTGCACTATATATCGCCAGTAAGCTTTCGTCAATAGATTATCAGTACATAAATAAATAATAATATTACATAAGCATTTGTTATAGTGATATATAAACTAGTCCGCATACAATGTAGCGCGACATATGATGATCTGTTATTGAATTTGAATACTGGTGTGTGTGCGTGCGTGTAAAGAGGTGCACGCCTAATTACAGCTAGCATTTTTTTTTTTTTTTGTCAGAATTACAGTGCAGCTAGCATTGGTTCTAGATTTAAGTTTTGTAACATATACCCTGCAGGTTCCACCTACTCCCTACACTCACACGCACACACGCACGCACGCACAGCCACTTTTTTTCAGATTAATCTTTCGTATGTATCTAACTAATTAATTGAGGGGCGCAGATGCATATTAATTAGTTAATTTGGTGCATTTTGTCTTCCAGCAGCTTCAAATTAAAATTTTCTCTTTTTCGGGGTTGATATGTGTGTGTCTCTGTGTGGAATATTGCCTTCACGCACCCTTCAGTCCAACTAATTAAATCTAATATTTTTGTTTTGGGTTTGATTTTTTCTTTTCCATGCTTCAGCGATCTTATTGTATTGCCGCAACCTTCCAATTGATTTTTTTTTCTTTTGATTATCAAATTCTAATTGAAGTGAGGGATATTTTGATATATATTATAACGATAAAACTATGAATTTTTTATTACAATTTTCAAAGAAAAAATATCTAAAAATTTGTGAAATTTTTTTTCATTTTCTTTGAAAAATAGTTAAAAATTCAAAATTGCACCATCGCATGAGATATCAAAGTATCTCATTTTATGTAGAACTTAATTATTATGAAAAGAATGGAGAAAAACTAATATTGGAAGGTTGACACATTGCAAAGAACCTAACATTAATTAGAACGATGGAACTTACAGCCCCACCATACGATTTTTTTTTTGTTTTGGGGTTAATTCTGGTCAAGAATCATGGGGGTTTTTTGGGAGTCATAACTATGGGGACTAAGGTATTGGTTCAACAAAATTGTAGGTTCTGATTTGTTGCTTCAAGTTTTGGAAGAAGGGACGGTTCTGATCTAAAGGTGTTGTGGCCTTTTAATTTGGGGGGGGTAATCGATGAGGAAGAAGAAATTAAAAGGAGTGATGGGGACAAACATTTTTGTGAAGATCGAGGGCATTTTAGTATCTTTACTTTTAAGTATATTTAATCAAATATAAAAATCAAATTTCTTTTCTCAATCCTAAAGCTAGGTATACTAAATTTTTTTTAATGGGCTTCTATGGGCCCACCTTACTTTCTTCCCCTCCTCTTGCTCTTAACCTTTGGTATTGAATCTTTCGATCAGACATCATGAGATATAAATGTAATAACAAATTTATAAGGACAGCTTATTTAAAAAATGATATGCGAATAATTATTGGAAATTACCCGGCTATTGTTTTATTGAAAATTTTAACAAATTCTCTAAAGAAATTCTCTTATAAAAAATTAGAGAAAATGCATATTTATTATTTAATTAAACTCCAAAATCTAACATGGGTCTAAAAGTTTACTAGCTACTATGAAAGATCTCCTCCATTTAAAATATAATACCTTTCTCAAGGTTAGATGTTAAAAAACTATAAATATTTTTATTGTTTTAATATGTAATTAATGAGTTTTTCTAAAAAATATTATTGATAAATAAACTATTCAATTCTTCACCTTTAAATGAGACATTCTATTAAATAAGGGAAAATATGATTGGTAGTGTAATTGATAAAAATGCCTTATACTCTCTCAATCCCTATATAGTGTGTTTTAACCAAATCACTCATACCAAAAAAAATTATTATTTAGTTAAAATTCTCATTAAATTACATTATTTTTCAATTTTGTCCCTAATAATTTCAATTAATATCCATGGTGGTTGTAGGTAAAGCATACAATTACTATCTTTTTTTTTAAGGTAAGGATAAATTATTTAATAATAAAAATATCATGACACTCTCTTATATTAAAGATAAAATAACTTTTTACAAAATACCCTATATTAAAGACCCAGGAGTATCTTTTAACCGAGGCATGAAGAATCAGTGCACGAGCTAGTAATATT